ACACACACACACACACATACCTGGCAACATCGACAGTTGCTTTGTTAACACTTCACTGAGCCAAGATGGCAGACTTCGAAGAGCTGAGCGATGAAGAGAAGGTATTACTTTATTAATTTATACTCTAATTATTTTATTACCCTTAACCTTTGTCCTGGAAGATGACAGTGAAACCCTTAGCATGTAGCACGAAGAGCTAAGCGGACCGTATTTGGTGCCAAGCCAAGCCAAGCCAAGCCAAGCCAGGGCAGTGCTGTATTTGACAGTTCAGAGCTGTGCCTTGCATGTTTTGTGCCTGTGTACTAACACATAATGTGAGTTAGATAGCCTGTGTGAGCCCGACCCTCTTAATGTTTAAATAAAATACACATGAGCACGGTTGAGCATTATGTCTGATTGAGCATGAGAAGTAAATCTAATGGAAGGAAGTCGAGCTACTTCCTGCATTCACACTGAGGATAATGACAGTTTATCGGCAACATAACACCACCCACACCCAGTTTGCTGTAACTTCACCTAACCCAGCTGCCTGCATTGGTCTTCAATACACCATAAGTGGAGGTTTATCACTCATAAGTCATTTAAAACCTGTAACTTTTGGACTCCATTCATGGGACAGATGCAGTCTTCCCTGCAGTGTTATCGAGGCTTGCAGGGGCTGCTGTTGCTGGCCCCTTCCTCATGCTGCTACATGTTGTAAAGTAATGCTTTGCATTCCTGAAGCTGACGATGTGGCCAGGAGCTTACACCTCCAGCACTACTACAGGGAAAACAAACAAATAAATCCGTATAAACAAGACGAAAGAATGAAAGAACTCAAAGCCTACATTTAAAGTTAGAGTTGGATATTTATTCCTGACAGTGCTGTCTTTATCAGATATAGGGTTAGATTGTTGAAGTGCGTTATGGAGAGTCAGTCTGAGTCTTGGAGCGCTTTCTGGGCTGTGAATGGAGAGACTATCAGGAGCACAGTTAAACTGGGTTACTCATTGTTCTGCCCTTTCAGCTGGACAGCCCATTTGTAGGTCACTGCCAGCTGCAGCCTGGAGGCTCAATAACCCTGTCTGCCTGACAGACGGCATCACTGGCACACTGCACTGTAATGTGGCTGTGCGATTAGGATGCAGGGCGGGTTGAACCTGTGAAGGTCATAAATGAGGGATGAAAAGAGAACAAAGGGTTACTGCTACTTCTCTATCGGCCGTTAACTTCCCCCTTACTTACTATGTGCTGCCTGATTGTGTGAAGCTCGCCAATACTTAACAGCCCTTACTGAGTGTTACCTTATGAGAGCACTAGTACCTGCCGCAACTCCTTCACTCTGGGGCTTTGACACCACATGCTTACACTTGCATTCTGGCTGCTAAGAAAAGCCCGTGGGCGACATACCCCGCCTGCCATCTAAGGAGCGGTTTAAATGGAGCTAACGAGTCTGCAGCCAAGAAAGCTAGAAAGCTGCTTTCTGCGTCGCTCTAGTGGCTATTTGCAGGGTTTTCACTTATCGTAGACATCAGCTGCTGTATCCCGAAAGATTTAACACACAAAAACAAAACATGCAGCAGATTTGGTTGCTAAGGAGACTGTTGTTATTTGTCTCTACCAGTTCCTTTTACGCAGGGAGGGAACTAAACCCCCCCAAGTTACACACTGTTTTACATTTGGTGACATGTTGTTGTATTTGTTTCTAGGTCCGCATTGCAGCTAATTTTGTGATGCACGCTCCTCCTGGAGAGTTCAATGAAGTCTTCAACGGTGAGTCTCATTTGTGATTGACACCTTCAGGACTATCTGCATTTTAAACGGTCTGAAACAAGTTGTCAATGCTTTTCTTATGTTAATTCTTCTTCTCAGATGTGCGGATACTCCTCAACAATGATAACCTTCTCAGAGAGGGGGCAGCTCAGTGAGTCTCATTAGTTTTTTTTTTTTTAACTTGTAATATAATGACGTTCTGGATGTACATGCAACTTGTTTCTGTTATTTTTTTGATACAGTGGCTTTGCCCAGTACAACATGGACCAGTTCACCCTCGCCAAAATTCAGGGATATGACGATCAGGTAACCTTGTTCAGTCATGTACTTTTCTCATTCCTACCTTCCAACCTTCTAACATTTATTATTATTAATTATTCTTCTATGTTCATAAGACAATACCTGAGTAAACAGCTATAGTAGCAGCACGTTTGTCTGTCTGTTTCCCCTTTAGGTCCTGATAACGGAGCACGGAGACCTGGGTAATGGCCGCTTCTTTGACCCTCACAACAAGATCTCCTTCAAGTTTGACCACCTCAAAAAGGAAGCCAGCGACCCCCGGCCCCATGATGGCGAGGCAGCCCTCAGGTCATGGAGAGACGCCTGTGATTCTGCCCTGAGAGCCTACGTCAAGGAGCACTACCCCAGTGGAGTTTGCACCGTAAGATCCCTCGCCCCATCTGCACCGTAGCCGCCATGTTCAACACTGCACATGGTCCATCATCCTCACCCTTCTTTATCTGCTTCAGGTTTATGGGAAAACAATCGATGGCCAGAAGACCATTATTGCTTGTATCGAGGGTCATCAATTTGAGCCTAAAAACTTCTGGTAAATTTACGGAGGACAATGATCCAATTTTAAACTTCCTAATCAAATTCACTCTGGCAATTATGTTGGCTCAGCGTAGAGGCAATGAGGTGTTATTGTGTTAGGAGTGTTTGGAATCGGTTCTCAGGTTTCCTCTTCTGCACTTTCTGTTTCCAGGAACGGTCGCTACCGGTCTGAATGGAAGTTCAGTGTCTCGCAATCTACAGCACAAGTGGTCGGGGTCATGAAAATACAGGTATGTTGAGTAATTAACAGGTGTTGTATGAGGTCGGCTCTGAAGTTGGTTTTGTTTCACTGTTGTCTTTATTTGCTCTGTTTATCCAAGGTTCATTATTATGAGGATGGAAATGTGCAGCTGGTCAGCCATAAAGATGTACAGGAAGCACTGATTGTGTCTGTAAGTATTTTAACTTATTAATAGTTTTTCTAGTTTAAACTCTGGAAAGCTGAAGATTCTTGTTTAACTATAGTCTGTGGTTGTTTTTTCAGACAAAGCTAAGTGGCGTTAAGTAACTTGGAAATAACTGAATGGACTTATTGGAGTATTTCATATCTGATGTATGTTTATGTTTATGATGTGTGTTTGATTTGTTAAATTAACCCACAACTATGTGTTTTGGCAGAACGAGAGCCAGACTGCAAAGGACCTTGTGAAAATTATTGAGGATGCAGAGAATGAATACCAGGTATGTGTGATTTAAGAATAAGAAGAGTTTCCCCCATAAGTGAATGAAAAGTTTTTATTATTGAGCTGTATATTAAGCCATAAACATTTTCAAACAACACCATACAAATTCCCCAAATAAATAAATAAATAAAAAAGAATAAAAATAAAACATAAAGAAATCTATTTGAGTCATTGTTACCTTCAGATTTTAAGCCCATCATGTAGGGATGGGAATCTATAACCAGTTCCAAATAGTCTGATCCATAAAGATCGTATCTTTTATCAGTTGCACATTATAAAACAATGACATCAAACTCAGGCATCTGTGCTGCTGGAAACCTGCAACAAGAAGGACTCGTGACTGAAGAAGAAACGGTCCAAAGCGCTTTTTTAGTGCTAGCTGTAATGCATATATAATTATTATTTTAAATTCCAGCAATTTGCTGAAACATCTTTCTATGCAACATGGGCTTAAATTCCAGGAATGTATTTGATACACACAAGGGCCCAACCTTCATCTGTTAAACCTTAATAAAAACAAATTCTCTCATTTCATCCATTTAAGATGATGACAGAAAATTGATCAGGAATCAGTAAGGGAATTTATATAGAATCTAATAAGCAGAATTTATAATGGCAAAACTCAACTTCCTCTTCTTACACATTGTTTTTCTTCAGAAAATGTCCAGTTACCACAGCTGTCGATTATATCTAGAAAGCATGACTGATGTGCTTATCTTGTCTTTTCAGGTGGCCATCAGTGAGAACTATCAGACCATGTCGGACACCACATTCAAAGCCTTACGCAGACAACTCCCAGTCACCCGTACCAAGATTGACTGGAACAAGATCCTCAGCTACAAGATTGGCAAGGAGATGCAGAACGCTTAGAGGAGTTACGATAAACAAATTGAAGAGAAGCCAATGCTCGCGCAAACATGTGTGACGCAACATACCGTACTGTATGTCCTTCTAAAAGAGACATTGGTTTGGGGTTATTATTTTTATTTTTTTTCCAGAGAATGACAGCTTCCATTATGCACTACGAGGGGATGCCTTCATTTTAAAATAACATTGAGTGGTGTACCCGTCGCTCATTCGCAAACGCATATTATTTGTTAACAAATAATGCCTTTGGTGACACTGTGAAAGTTTGGGTCATTATGTGCTATTTGAATTCTCACAATCACACATGTTCAACACACAGTTTTCGGATCCCACAGTGCTTCGAATGGACACACATTCTCCTAAAACCCCTCAACTTCTGTGTAGCAACTAATTTCTCTCTTTAAAACATAACTGAAATTCTTTAAGAGCTTCCAATACCTCTATAGTTTTTTATTAACAGAGGGCAAATACTGTATGCAATTCGATATGTTGGCCGGGAAGACACATGACAACGCCAAATTATACCGTTTTATATTTTGAGCCTGAAGAGCCCATCTGTTTTTATTTATGCATCCCTCTGGACGCAGGGTTGTAGCCAGCGGACATGCCAAAGCATACCTTTTTCTTTACCATTCACTGAATGCCCCCCTTTTTAAATTTAGTTGTGTCTCTTCTCTCGGTTGTAGAGACGTTTTCGGTGAAAATCCCTCTTTACCCCCCTGGACTGATAAAGTATTGTTGTCCTCCTGCCAGCTCTTTGCCTTTAGCTTTTGCTATATTTTTTATACAAACTGTAAGTACATTTATTATTCATGAAATAAAAATATTATCTTCAAGCAATGCTAATCATTTGTGTGTCTGAGCTCCAGATATTTTCTTCTGGGTTTCTTTGATTGTTCATTGGAGGAGGAGAATTTTGAACTCTCAGATTATTTTTCTTTTAGGCTAAAAACAAAATTAAATGAAATTGAAGGATTTAATATTCTGCACTAGAATTAGATACTTAACACCGGAGCATAATAGTGAGATACAATCTTCAGAATATATAATTAAAATTTTAGGTGAATAAAATGTAAAATTTGTGAATTTATAATAAAACTATTAATCATCAAATCAGTTAATAAAAAAGTCCTGGCTGCATGAATATATTAAGCAAAAGTGTAACATTTGTGGCATTATCAATATATGTAAATGAAGCCAAGTCATGCAGACCAAATTTTATGCTTTATAATAAAGCATAAACAATGTGCCATTCAACACTGTGTATGCTATGTTGGTATATTACATCTGTCTTGGCTACAAATGTCATGTTTCATGACCATGACCATGTAAATGAGGAATGCTGTGAACACCTGAAATGTTCAGTCACTTAATCACTGTCAACTCACAGAAAATCAACCAGCAATTATTTTGATCAAAGACAATTTTGAAGCAAAAACACCAAATATTCGATGATTCCAGCCTTTCCAGTGTGAGGAGTCACAAGTCACAAGGAGTCTTGTTTTACACCAAAGCGAAAGGAATATTTTTAGTGATTTGGACAGTTGGACAAAAGAAGTTGTGCAGGGTATTTTTGGACAACATTTTGAAGTTCATAGAGATTAGATTCATTGAGAGAATGATCTGCAGATGATAAAATAATGAAAATGAGTTGTTTGAAGCCCTAATTTTGAAAAAACAAACCCCGACCAACAACAACGGGGCTACTAAATATGAATCGATTACACATTATTTGTCCTTTGGTATTAGATTTCCAAGCTTGCGAGTCCCCGTACATATAATCCATGCTTTAATGCAGCTATGTGTATTATATATTATAATGTATATGAAAACCTGACAGCACCCACTGCTCTGAACCTGCTCAGCTGGTGATTATGTAATAACTGCGGTTTAGGGAGTGTCAACAAAACACACAGAGACGATGCTTGTGTGTCATATAAGACCCGTAGGGCAATTCAAACGTCGGATAAACTTTAAAAGTATATAAAGACACTAAGTTGTACACTAAATGGTGTGGACAATGTATTTACTCCGGTATAGAAAGCTGTTTTCGCTCCTCAGCTGTCAAACAGTTGCAGACGCTTCCTTAATGAGACCGTTAGGGAGCGTCCATCAGCTACAAGTGTGCGCCAAACTGCGCTATATAGTACACTTATATATCATTTAATCGACATTTTGAAGCTAAAAATGAATGAGAAATCGATGGCCAGCGTAAAAAGTTAAAACGTCCACGCTTGGCGAATACGCGCAAAAAGTCCCGCAAAACACGGAACGCGTAAACATCCCCATACTGTCAGAGCGCGTTCACAGTTCCAGCTACTAATACTTCAGGAAATTGAGGGTTGATGAGTTGGTCTGCCGATGAACTTCCTCATTGGAGTCAGTCGATAGGCAGAAGCAGCGGCCTGTGACACGCCGACATGTCGCTTATAGTCTGTCTTGAATCCGGACTGGACTTCATTGAATTTCTGGGAGACAGAATATCCAACACCAGCAAGAATGAACTTCGTCGCATCTACAACTGTGAATTTAGGGGCAGGTAGGCTTCAGAAAAAAAGCGTGTGTCGCATAGCGTTGTTAGACTGTGCTGTGTGTTACACGACTCACTCTGTGTATGTTTATGTCCACAGAGAGGGAATAAAAGACCCCAAATTTTCCAGTGTTCTTTACGCCCTTGTGAAATTCAAAAAAGTTCACATTAGACAGGGGAACATCTTCATAAATGTCAAACCTCAGGTAAGATGTCTTTGTTTGTTTTTTTAAATGGGGAACAAGACTGTACATGTTTAGTCTTGTGCTGCATTTATATATATCCCATATCCCACAGAAATAAAATGAGGAAGTTTTATGTTATTTTTAATCCCTGCTGCAGGTTCGAGTGTACTGTGACCAGTGGAGGAGGCCCCGGGCCCCTGAGCAGGAGGACAGTCCCAGCTCTAGCCCTCAGAAGACATCTGCACCCTCCTCCGTCCCCTCGACCCCCGTGAACCCTGTGCTGACCCCCAAGAAAAAGCTGGCTACTGAAATCCTTCGCAAGTTAAAGCTGAACAGGTAAGTTTGGTCTGTAATATGTTTCACATTAAGAGTCCATTTTTGTGTGATTTTCCATGCATGTTCTCCCCATGTGGGTTTCCTCAGATGCCAAAGACATAGAGGCTAAACTGCCCGTAGGAGTGAACATAAGAGTGATCTGTCTGTATGTGTCAGCCTTGTGATACACTGGCGACCTATCCAGTGGGTCAGATGAGTACTGCAACCAGTGATTACTTTCATTATTGATTAATCTGCTGATTATTTTCTCAATTATCCATCAATTGGTTGGGACATAAAGTTTGGTAAAACAGTGAAAAATGCCCATTGCAGTGTTCTTAAGACCACTGTCGTCTTCTAATGTCCTGTTTTGCCCGACCAGTAGTCTAAAGATAATCAATTTACTTGCAAAACAAGAAAAGGCAGAAAATTCTTACAGTTGAGAAGCTGGAAACATCGTATGTTTGGCAATTTTACTTAAAAACGATAAATATCCTTTATGGAGGGGACGAAACACTAATGAGGCTCTCTGCTGTCCTCCACCGTAGGGTCTTGCTATCTGAGCTGGTATTTTTATACCAGATGGTATTAAAGCCAGAGATGAAACTCTCTGGTAGTATACTCTTTAGAGGATGGGAAGTGAGACCTTTCAGTTCAAGAGCTTGTTGCTGGCTCACCGGAGAGGCTTCCTGGGACATTTAAGGGAAAAAAGCCATTGTGGATGTTAGTAGTTCATCCTTTTCTTTTTCCTGCAAAATGTCTTCGGTGAAAAAGGTCTGTTGCTACCAGTCGCTGCAGGTCAATATCCATTAAATTTGATGTTAGACAGAAGTTAGAGAGAGGGAGGATGGGAGTGATGGCATGGGAGAGTTACAGGTACATGGTACTCTGGACATCGACTGCCCAACCATCACCACTTTACCCCTGCTGGTTACGAGCCTTACAGCTGTTCACTCTGCAGTTTACTGATGGTACCTCTCTCTCATAGGAAAAAGCTGACAGCTGACAAGGAGGGCATTGAGATCACGTCGGACCCCGTGGCGAGTGGGGGAAAGGTTCAGTTCACTGTGGACCTTCTTCGGGAGCCGTTCATCCTCAAGTTCCAAATCTTAAACAACGGGACAAACTGTGTGCACTTCACCTACTACACTGCCTTGCACAAGATGCGCTGTTTCACTCTGGAGGATCAGAGGAGAGTGACCAGAGCCAATCCACTGTTCCTCTGTCCTGGTGAGTTAACTTCTCCTCTCTATTTAAAAAAAGAAACCCACACTCCGGAGAGGTGATTAATGCTCACAGCTCCATCTTCCACCTTCTTCTTTCTTTTCACAGGGGAACGCTATGAAGTTGTGGTTCGGTACGTGCTGAACCACTATGGATATTTCCCTGCCACAATGTACTTTGAGTTCTGCCCGGACGTGCCAGAATCTTTGCCTTTTTGCATTGTGCGGGAGATGGAGGCGTTGACCAGGACCCCGCTGGCTGCGGAGCTGGGGCCCGTGTCTCCTTACAAACCATTTCAGGTGGTCACATACAAGCGTGTTGACACCGTGATAGTGGAGGGAGTACCTCCTGAGAGGTAAACAACGATTGCAAACCAGTCGAAGACTCACAGTAGAAATGCACTTTTGTACCTGGTTATTATAGAGGAACAGATTTTACATATGGGGAATACGGCAGCATATATGAAAAAAGTTATATAAAGTCTAAAAAGTGCAGCGTCGATAGGGACTGAAGACTACGACTTTAAAATAAATAAAGTCTGGGAATGTGGAGTAAGTGAGATTTCCAGACCTCTGTAGCCTGCTCCTTATCTCTGCTTGAGGCTAGCGGCTCAAGGCTACATTAGTTGCTACTAGTATAACAAACCAGAATTTCCAGCCGAACTGTCGGTGATCAAGTTGTGGGAAAGGTAGATATGGAATATAAAAGACTATGTCTCAGATGCTGCTGTGTTGATTTCTATAGTTTTTAACTGTCTAATGTAAGCCTGACAATATTATAGGAGTTTGATGGTAAATTAATGGGGGAAAAAATAATAGTTTAACGTGAATGTGTTGGAAAAGTGCATGGAGACAGAAGTTCGTGGACAGCCTTTGCGAGATTTATTCAAGTCGATACAATACAGTTCCAAGAACTCTTCAGAAAACCAAGTACAATCAGAACAACCACAGAACCACTAAACCTCTATCAAGGCTTCTAGTCTTATACCTCTCATTGGTGTCATTTCCCATCAGCAGTTGGTCATTTGTCATCAGCGGTTGGCTAGTTATCAATTTTACTTAATATCAACATGTTACCTAACTTCGACAGAAACGGATGCTGGCTCTGGGAGTTTCCAGTTTCAGGTCAAGGTGTTTTCCATTGTTCTTTTTGGGATTGTCCTTAGAGGACACGCTCAGTGTTTACAGAACAGAAAAACTGTTCTTAATGTTCCAAATTAACAAATGCTGCACAAAGTGTCTTACTATCTCCAAATAGAATGAGGACAGATTTTTTTCCTCAGCAGCAGGAAATCCATTATTACAGATTTCAGTACAAATATTTGATTTGGGAGCTGGTTGAATCAAGTTTCTTCTGTTGTAATTGAAAGTGATCAACAAATAGACCCAGAGTGGTTCCTGAAATTGTGTTTTCATGATTACCGTCATGATGTGTTTGTGTTTTGTTCTCTGCAGTTCTGTCGTCCAGCCTCAAAAGATGGCAGTGAGATTGGGAGAATACAAGTACCCTGATTACCTCAAGGAACTGGCTAAACAAAGGATGGAGGACACTGAGTACCTCTCCTCAACTGCCAGGCAGAATCTCCCATCAGTGAA